AATCAATTCAATTTTCATATTCCTATCCTACAAGGAGATATTTACATTTTAGTGAGATAGTGTCTGAAAATTATTTAAACCGAAATGGAGTATTTATGGAAAACCATTTCTATAGGGACAAAAAACTTATGAAATGTTTATACATGTTTGGTATGACCTTATGGGACCTAGTTCCACTTGCAGGAAATGCCGTGTTGGTCAGCAATGACAATTTCTCATATTTCTATAGTCTTAATCTGTGTCATAGTTCCCAAATGTTGCAACTTGCAATGCACTAATAGATCTCAGTAAGAACTGCCATACCAATGTGTTTGGACTATCCAATAACCTACTCTTACTTATTATATTCACTGAACATTTTTCTAGACAAAGCTGCACCTTCTCCTCAACTATGATTTTTGTTAGATAGATCTAATCTTGGACTTTATAATAAAATAGATGAAAAAATTCTAGAATCAATCAATGTACACAGTCAACAAAAAATGGATGAGTTAGATAATAGGTGTGTATATAATTGTAGCGACCCAAACTCGAGGATCTAAATCGTTATCCGGGTCCTAACCTAAACCCAAGGACATCTAAGGGTTTTATTGGCATTATACACCTTGCTAAGTTCTAGGAGTCATAATGAAATCATAGTAGTTGTTTCTGGCTATATAGGTCCATGAAAATGTAAAAAATTTCAACTTCGGTTTCACATTGGACCCCTAAGTTTAACAAGGGTAAAATTTTCATTTTGAGTCATAATTATGAAATGGGACTGGTACCAATGTAAAGAAGGTTCAAGGTCCTTCAATTTAGACTTAAGAATGACCTAATTTAGGTTAGAAATGAATGAGATAAAATTAATCAAAGTTTGGTCATTAAGTGTGGGTACAATGTGTTTACGATCGATCATAAATATCTACAATCGATCGTTAATATTTGCGATTGATTGTAAATTCTATACTTAGACAAATTTCTGAGAACCCCAAAATTGGCTCTCTGTCGATGGTGCGTGCCGCCGACACCAACGTTTAAAGAGGTACTAAAAGTGTGAATGTGCAATGTGGCTAAGTTTTAAATTTATAAAAGCCACTACTACCTTTAACTAAAAATATAGCTAGGGTGAGTAGGGATCGTCCCAAGGGATTGTAGGCGTATTTACAATGGAAACAATGTATAGGATTAGTAGGTCGAATGATCAAAATGTGGTTTGTTTAAGTGATTAAACTACAATGCAATTGAAATTAGAGCAAACAAAATACAATGATTTATAAGATGGGGAAAAAGATATAGAAGAGAGGACTTGGGGTACTAGAGTTCACCACTAAGCTTGACTTCACTAGACACTAGCAATTGTACATCAATGAGGAAATTGAATTGTAACTTATGTGTGTGTGTGACATTAATTGAAACTAGGCATAGATGGCAAATAAGTATAGAATGTCTTAGCCAATTCAAATGGAAAGCACAACCTATCAAATGAGACTAAAATCCATTTAATAAAATCACAATTTATGCACACACAACTATCTAGAGGCATACACCCTTTGCATTCATAAGTATGGAACACCAAGGAATAAGAATAGATTGTCCACCTAACTATGAATTTAAACCAACTACACTACATCTACACTAAAGACATGGAAATTAAACTAAACAAGCTAAAGGTGTGGCACAATCCATTAAGAAACAAGTGTGAACCATCAAATAAATAACAAGAGTGTTCAATTAAGCACTATGTTTTGATCATCACTAGATTAACTTCATCCATACACATAGACATGCACAAATTCCATTAAATCTAGAGAAAAACACATGAATCATCCATTCTAGCATACATAGACATATGATTAGAAATGGATAATCAATTAAAAGTATTAATCCATACACATCAAGTAAAAATCACAAGATATATATATATATATATATATATATATATATATATATATAAGTCTAGGATCAAAACATTTGTTACAAATAAATCCCTAAAAATATATAAAACACAAGGTCTAGGAAGCAAACTTAAGGGCTACTCTAGCCCCGAGTAAATGTTTAGCCATTCATTGAAGTAGTCATCCAACCCTCAAGGGTTATCTCCATGGTAGAAATGACATCCTTCTTGATAAAAACCCTAGAAGAATGGAAGAACTTCCAACTATGGTGTATGTCTCTCTATGCTCTAGCCTCCTCTCAAAGATAGATGATGAATGATATTAGATGATAGATAGATGTACATGTGTCTCTTCTTGTAAAAGTGGCTCAAAATCCTTATATAGGAGGCTCAAGTGTCACACCCAATGGTCTGGACTCATGCACTATGGTCCTTGCAATGATTGCACCATGAGCCAACTTTTACTGAGCTAGACTCTATTTTAATTCGGACTTGAGGAGGTTCGATCGATCGAACTTTGGTAAGATCGATCGAACATAGGTGAGATCCATCAAATGCTACAGAGATCAATCCATCCTTGGCGGCGCCTTTTTGAATAAAGACAAATCTCTGAGATATTTTGGGATAAGGACAAAAGTGGTAGGTGAGGATAAGATGAAGAAAGTTTGATCGATCTGAGAAAAGTTGGATCGATTGAAGATGGTGAATTCTTTTGGATAAGGACAGAGGCTTGGATCCATCTTGAAATGGTGAGATCGATCAATGTGAGATCGATCGAAAATATTCCTAATCGATAGAAGTTTGCTGATTTCTACCACTTTGCTTTCACTTTGCTCATTTCTTCCATTCAGCTTGAGATTGCTTTTTTTATGATCTAATTTGGCTGAATTAACTTATTTTGGGGATAAACACCTGAAAAAGGGTAATAACATGAAATTAGTCTAAAACAGGAAAGTAAGATAGATAAAGGTCCTAGAATACTCGAGCTTAAGGGGTTTAAATGCGCACTTTTCAGCGCTCATCACACCCCCAAATTTAAATATTGCTAGTCCCTAGCAATGAACTACAAAGTAAAGGAATGAAATGAACATCTATACAAGTATGAACTACAAAGTAATAAATGGATAACGCTACTTTCATAGGGAACACGATTGCATTTAGTATATGCAACAAGCCTTTTAAACCCCTAGGTTACCCCTAGTGGATGAGTGAAGTCTCGTAAGGGTTTTAGAAATGATACCCGCAAATATTAAGCTCTTTCTCACTAAAGAGGCACCAATATTGTAAACAAGCATTGGGAGAAAACTACCTCAAATATACAATTTTTCAACCATTTTCAAGCAATCTCCTAAAATTTCAATACCAAGTAAACAAGTATGGTCCTCCACACATCAAGAAAATGATCATGCTAATCAAAACAACACTAGAATCCTTTTTGAGTGGACCGACATCAAATATGTTGCTATCTTAGCCAACTAAAGAAATGATCATATCCTTACCCTTAAGCCAGCACACAAATCTAGTCCCGATCATCAAGACAAAGAGTGGACCTTTTATTAAAGTTTTATTCAACTAGATGCGCTTATTCTTTTCACTCAATTTTTTTGTTATTTTTTATTTTTTTTTACAGGATCAAAGATGGAAGCATGGTGCAATGTAGTGATCTATTAAGCTTTCTAGTGATTCATGAGGTTGAGCATTAACCAGACGGCTTTAGGCCACTAGGTGTTCAAACACCCCTAAGGGCTTATAAGCTCAAATCAATTAAGCTACAAACCAAAACAATCGCCATCTAATCATTTCCCACTTCTCACCTTTTGGAAGAAGTCCTCACTTTTTTGTTATTTTTGTAACTTTTTTTTTTTTTAGTAGCCACATTCAATTATTAACCTAGAGTTTGGGCCCTCCACCTTTCAGCGCGAGAAATTCAGTGCTTGATGAGGCTAGAATCCCGGTTACTCAATGAAAAGGGATTGTTATCCACTTTTGTCAAAATGAAAGCTTTCAATGCACTACTAGCCCAATTGGGATATAACCAATTCAATATTCAACAAAGCATGTACCCCACAAATGAATGCTAGTGTGCGCCTGTACTAGTGTAGAATCCTAGAGTGAATCTCAAAACAATCACAAAATCAGGATGATGTGGACCACAAGTGTAAGCAAGATATCAATCTTTCGAAATAATTTCCTCTTAAATGGCATCCACAAGGCATACAAGGAGTATTGGACTCTCAAGTCAAGCAATTTTTAAATCTTAAGCAATATAGTCCTCAAAAGATCAAAGTCATAGCTAGTCATGGACCAATCATAGAAAATCTCTCAAATACACAAGTCATGCTTAAAATTTTGAATTAAGAGCAAACACTGCAATTAACACCCATTACCCCCAAACTTAAATGGCACAGTGTCCTCAATATGTAAAGAGAACAAAAGGAAAGAGTATACCAGTACAACTAAGGCAAAGAATGGCCGGGACACAAGTATCCAAAGTGGGTGGTACAACCTTCCCAAACTTGGAATTGACTGTGGTCCTGAAAAGATGGCACTTGGATAAAACTCATCAGATAACAAAAGGAATAATAATAGTGCACAGTGGACATACAAGTGTAAATGGGATAATAAATGAAGTAAAGAGAGAGAGGAATAAGGGTGGTCTTGAAAAAAATTGGGCAACACTCTTTCTCACTGAAGTCACTGTGATGTACCTGATAAATAGAGTCAATCACAGATAAATGTATTAATAGAAGATCTAGACATCCAAAAATATCATACATAGAAAAAGAAAAGATGATATACAGTACATCACAGTATCAGGGCCAATAGACTGGCTGCAAAAATATCATAGCAGTTTCAATGTAATAGTAACACAGTACAGATATATAAAATGATGAGAGCAAAAAGATAGAGAGATCAGGAAGAGAAGGTAAGGCGAGCGGGGCGTAACCCCGGATGTCTTTGGATATGTTACGCAGCACAGCCATGACATCGAAGCGGAGAGATGCCATATCAGTGCTGAGGGCGGCCACATCTGACTGAAGAGAGACAACTGCGTCCTCCAAGGTCTATATACGCTCTCCTAGGCTAGGTGTCTATGCTGGAGTGTCAAGGATGACTGGGTCAGGAGAATGATGCGCATCCTGACTATGCTCTGGGAAATGTAATAGCGACCCTGCCTGAAAGTGATGTGGTGACTCTGGTGCTGGCTCTCGTTCCAGATCTATATCCATATGCATATCCGCAGCCCCCGATGGGTTTGTTGGATCATGCTCTGTCGCTGCTGCTGCCTCCTCCTCTGCATCCTCCTCAGCTGCCAGAATGGCCTCTTACTCTAAGCTCCGAATAAGAGCATTGTAGCTCTTATTCTAATCCTTCTTACCATAGTGGTAAGCCCCTGACTCAGTATGCTCCTCCGGGTGGAAGGGATAGTGCTGGTCCCGGAGGATCTGTGTAATAAGATGTCTGAAGGGGAGGAAAGTGGCCCGCTTAGGCTTCGCTTTGCTGATGAAGCTCACACACAATCTCATCATAACACTCCAGATGAGTGCAGGAACGAAGAACTAATGCCCGATATAGAAGGCATAGAGGGCTGCAAGAAAATCAGAACGCCTCTGGATCTTATGGCTCGTTATAAATACGTTCCAAAGATTGTCAGGCAGATAAGTCCAGGTGGTGAAAGTCTCGCCATTTGCGTAGTGGCCACTAAGAGCAACGGCCATGTCGGCATAAAAAGGCCTCCTCAAAATGGGATACTGAAGGCCAGGAGGGTAAGTATGCGGGCATCGTGAAGATATGGCCAGTGACTCCACAGTGATGCTTATGGGGTGGCCATCGATAGTGGTCTATAGCTTCGATAGGTTACTCGGGGCCGATCGAAGGTTCTGGAAGAACACTCGTGTGATGTTTCCAAATTTTCACCATTTTTCATTTTTCAAAAATTTTGTTGCAGCAAGGGCATTTTCATCTTTTGCCGTTTTGCATACCAGATAATACAGAGTGTACCAGTTGTGTCCAAGAGTTGTTTGAAGCATTTCATTGAGTCCAGGACTCTTTAAAATGTAAGGGTAACCATTTTTGCATTTTTTAGTTTTTCAGGTCGGATGTTCCCGTGTGGGACCCGCTATCGGAATTGTTGCATACGGGGATTCTGGTTGAGTCTTTTTGCATTATATTTATTTTATTTAATGTGTTGTATGAGGTTATGCATTATTTTATGTGTATATGTATATGTGTGGTGTAAAATGAAACAAAAAGAAAAAGGGAAAATAAAAGAAATTGGTGGGACCCACCACCACCACTTTAAAGGGGGTTTGAGACCATAATTCTTGGTCTCTCATTTCTCTCCTTCTCTCCCACTGCTCTCTCATTTTCCTCTTTACTTTGCTTTTTTCTTTTTCTTTTTCTTTTTTTTTTTTCAATCAAAAATTTAGAACTTGATTTCTTCTTCAATCTTTGGAATTTTTAAGTGCTGTTTGTGGTAAATCGAAGCTCACGACGAGATCTTCAAATCCATACCAGCAATTTCAGCTTTTGGCCACTCTAGGAAGTCCAAAAATTGAGACCCATTTTGAGGGTTTTTGCATAATCTTGAGGTAGGGGTTCTTAATCCACAAATTCTTGCTCCTTTGTGAGATTTTCCATGTGTTTTGTTATATAGCATGCTCAATTGTGTTAAATCCTCCTTTAAATGACTTAATTGTGTATTTAAAGCATGCAATTATGTGAATTAATTGATGTGGTATGTAAAAGCATGTTTTAATTTCATGAAAAATTGTTTATGCTTATATGAATCTCGTGTATGTAATATGATAATTGTATATCATATGATAATTGACTATATATGTATTGCCTATTTGAATTGTATAAGATGACATGCTAAAGTTGGATTTATATACTTGAATTTTATGTGAAGCTACATGATCCTATGTGTTATTAAATGTAGGTAACATGTTGTTGATTATTGTGTTGTGAAAAAAAAAAAAAATGCTCTAAGTGATTTTATTCCATGTCTTGTGTTTTTGAATTACCGTAATTAAAATGTGAAAGCATGGTACATGCATTACACAAATTTCTCTTAAGTGTGATATATGGTTTAAATGTGAATATGTGAAGAATTATGGCATGGAAAGGCATGATGCATTCATGCACAGCATTGGGCCAAAAAAAAAAAAAAAAAAAAAGGGAAAGAAATGAAAAAGGGGTGTTGGGAAAAAGATTTGAGCAAAGAATTTTGTGAAAATCGGTTGCCAAGGGGGTACCGAGGGTCCGTGGCGTTAATGTAGCCTAGAGGGAACTAGGGAGATCGCCCTAGCGTGGTTGAGCTATCTGGACCCCAAATGACACCGTGGGGGTACCAAAGGTCAGGGACAGTTGCCAATACTTCTCTCGTCGCTGAGGGGTTATCGAAAGGGGTTACATTAATGGTTTGAAAAGTGAAGAATGAAGTGATTTTTAAGTATAGGGAGCGACATTCATGGCATCACATATCATAGCACGGCATTGTAATTTTGAAATTGGATTTGATGTTGTATTCTTTCCCGGCATAGTATAATCCCTATTCTCTATTCATATTCATTACCTGGATTCATGGGGTCACAAGAGGTGTGTCTTAGGCACCACCTACTAAGCAATTTGTTCACCCCTTATATTTAATATTTTTCAGGACATGGATGGCAAGTGGCGGACGATGCTCCTCTACAGGGTTTGATGGGTTAGTAGACCGTTTTGACATACTTTGTAGCTAAAATCTCATTATATTATTATTATTTATTTATTTATTATTACTTAAAATTTTATAAACCCGGAATGACACGTATAGTATGTATTGACGTAGGAAAGAATGGTGTTGTCCCTAGTTGACCTCGGGTTCAGTTAAGGACCCGGCTAATGGTTCGGACCTGTAGGTTCGAGTCGTTACAACTCGAACAAGCCTCGGGTAAACTGGGTAAGTAACTGGAGCGAAAAATAGCAGATATACCGCGCCGGTCAATATCGTTAAATGCCGCCCGGGTCAGAACTGACCGGGAAAAGAAGGTAATGTCGAATACCGACTCATGCGCCACCTGAACGCGTTTATATCTCTTGCTAGGGCTATATCTGATCTGGCTTGGCGATGCTGGTTGTGACGTTTCTGATTTTTGGCAATTTTTATTTTTCTATAATTTAGTCGCTGCAAGGGCATTTTTGTCCTTTCACATTTTTGCGTACGAGATTTTTAGTTGGGTCCATTTGCATTGTGTGTAATTTAATTTCTATGATTATGTGGTGTTTACTTGGTGGTGCATGTAATTAAATGTGGGTGAGGTGGATAATGAAAGTAAAAGAAAAAAGGAAAAGAAAATAAAATTGGTGGGACTGATCGGTTGGTCAATCATACATCAACCTTCGCAATAGCACGAATCATTGTAAAATAGGGCTATTGGTCGGGTAAGTCGAACCACTGGGACTGCGCTAGTCTAAGGCAACCTAAATGTCTAGAATCGTTCTTAGAATGATGAAGGGGAAATAAGGAGTTGTTTGTTTGTCACTAAATTGAATATGTGAAGTGCATGAAATAGAAACTTGCAATAATTGAAGCGAGATAAGATACGAGTAAGAAAAACTAAGGAAGTGAATCCGTTTCCATCCCTATACACATGCTAGGCTAAATTTAAATTCGGGAAATCAACATAAACAATGGTCATGATACATAACAATCATTGGTTGCTATAATATCCTCAAGAGGTTCATTGAATCAAAAACAAGAATAATCCATCAAAGAAATACATGCTTAAACTACATAAACTAAGGTGTAGTCTTCAACATGCTCCCTAAGCCAAAGATTATCAAGCCCTTAATTGAATGATAAAAGCACATAAAGTTAGGAATCAAGAATAGACCATCAAAGGGGGAACCTAAGCAATGGACTATCAAATTTCTCCAACTTCATGCCATTAAAACTATTCCATGATCTCACTACCATTGTCACCATGAGAGTGCAAGCACTATGATTAAAAGAATAAACCATCTAAGATAGATAATTAATTCAACAATAATCATTAAAATACATGAAGATCCATTACAAGAAGCAAAATGCTCTAGACCATGAAAAGAGCATAGGTTATACATTGAAATCCCAAAATAAAATCTACACTAGAACATGCTTACAAGTGAGGGACTTCATCACCTCCCTAGAAGAAGAGTTAGTTACCCATTGGAGCCTTAGAATGAAGAGGAAGCTTGAAGACCTCCTCCATTTTCGTGCTCCCTTCTTCAAGCTTGGAGAACTCTCTTTCTTGCTCTCTTCTCTCTCCTCTAATCTTGTAGAAATGAAGCTTAGGAAGTGTGTGGCCTTTGGTAGCTTTTTATTCTCCAACAAAACCCTCTCTCTCCTCCAAGGAACACCTCCAACCACTTCATAAAGAAGGAAGATGGCATTGAGGAAACCAATGTGCAAGTGGCTGAAATTGAGCCATTTCCGAGTGCAATCTGCCTGATTTTCGAGCACTCTAAAAGTGGTCTCGAGCACTCTAAATTAGTGCAATGTGCAACATGCTCTTCTTGCTCAGCGCTGACCTACTTTGGTAAAACTGCTATAACTTTGTGCCCCGAACTCCGAATGATGATCTGTTTAAAGATTTGGAGAGATGATTCAGTGGTTTAAAAACTTCATGTTTTGATGAAGACCAAATTCTCAAGTCTGGTTGGTCGAAAATGGGGAGAAAGGCAGTACTTCAGTGCTGCCAGGCAGTTCTGCGCACCTCTGTTACGAAGATCATAAATCTCTGCTCCGAACTCCGAATGATGAACCGCTTGAAGATTTGGAAAGCTGATTCAGAGATCTAAATCTTTCATGTTATGATGGAAGTCCAGTTCTTGAGTTTGCTAGGTCGAAAATGGCAACAAAAGTCAGGATCACTGCTGCCAGAAATTCAGAAATGGCATCATTTTTGTTCAAAATTCCACAAGGCATCATTTTTGCTTCCTTTTTGCACTTTAACCTGAAAATGCATAAAAACATGCAAATGGAGTTAATCTACATAAAATAATTAATAACTGGACTTTGTTAATGTAATTTAGGGCGCTTGAATATACAGTATTCAGCGCTTATCACACCCCCAAACTTACATTTTGCTAGTCCCTTAGCAAAACCAAAATGCAAAGCTCAATGGAATGAAAACATGGGAATACAATTACAAAAATATTCACCATGGCAAAGAAAAACATAAACATAGCTCAAATACAACTTGAAACAGATAAGGAGCTGGAGACGGGATCATCGGGAAGACTACCTTGCATATATGAAGCATTGATACAAAAATTGGGAAAAAACATTTCTACATGCATGCATCAACATCATAGTCCATA